ATAAAGACAAATAGTGAAAGTGAACTGTAACTGGATCAAAAGTAATGTTTTACTGCCACCTACTGTTTGAGATGAGAATTTATAGACATGAAGGCAGACAGTTCATTGTTTCACATTGTATGAGCCGATACCATATACATTGAATATTTTAAACAAAACTTTGATTTTATTGGGGCAGTGCAGAAACTTTTTAGAAGTTGTCAGAATCAGAAGCGTCTTCAAGCTACATTTGGAGGTATTTAATAAAAATGGGTTTATTCTACATGATGAATTGGGTTTATTTGCCAACTTATAGCAAAATACATCTAAAATTATTTGGAAACAATTAATTTCTAGGTAAATTCAAATTTTGTAAAAGCAACAGTTTATAATGGTATTACACTTTCACAATAGAATTTACAATCTATGCAATGACAAATCAAACTTATTGTAGTTTTTTTTTTTTTTTTCCAACCAGTTGTTGTAGATGTTGGTTGATGTGGGGAGGAAAGTTTTTCTGTAGGGATCTGACGACCACTGTACAGTATCTGGAGGAGCCTTTGACTGGAGAGACAGTTGTTCTTCTGAGGAGGATGTTCATGGTTGTTCAGTGTTCATTTCATGAAGCCTTCCTCTTTCTGAAATCACCGTAGTTCCTCCAACTGAGCTGGCCGCCTCTACCGGATCGTTTTTTTCCCAAGCCATTTGCTCGGATGCCATTACCTCAACATATTGAAGAGATCACACTCTTCACAACCTACTGATAGAAGATATATAGCATGTTGCTGCACACACCGACGGACCTAAGCTTACTTAAGTAGTAGTCGGCTCTGTTCCTTCTCATAGACGGCTTCATAACAGTTTTGTAATTCTTCACCACCTCCACTTCTTCCATGATTATAATAGGATTTGACCATTTTTTAAATTTAATATATCTACAAACTTCTACCTTGTGTTGTTATTGTTGCATCTTGGAAGTCTGTTTTGTATATTTAAATTAAACAGAAGTATAAATATGCCAAAAATTATTAATGTTGAAGGAAAAGTCCCACAAAATCACTTTTGCTCAAATTATGCTTCAATACACCATTCAATGTTACTTTGGAAAAACAAGGTACTTACAGTTTGAAGTGAGTTAAATGGAAAATGACTTTTTTTGTCAGTGGAGCAAAAAATTGAGGCATCTGAAAAAAGTTTATTTTCAAAACAATGAAAACAGAGTAATTATTTTCAGAACAGCAGCCAACCATTAGTTAGAAAAGAGAACACAGTCATACAAACATAATTCCTTCCCAGAGGAGTCAAAAGGCAATATTTTCCCTTGAAACAGCAATCATAGGAAAACAACAGCATACAGGATGCCCATTTACCACTAAAAATACAATGTAGTGTATAATCAAGGTTGAACAACACATATGAACCAGTGTGTTTTTTACAAATAAAAGTAGCCCTATCTAAAGCAAAAGATTACAGTCTGAAATATTTAATACAAGAAAAATAATAACCAGAAAACAAAAAGCAATTTCCATTTGATTTGAGACAGAATATTGCTCAAATACAAAAAAAAATGCACAATTAACTGTTGCCAGAGAAAAAAAATTCCTTATACTTATTTGAGGGCACTGATTAAAACTTGCTTAAAAGACAATGAACAGCCATTCCAATAAGCCTGATCAGATTTGATTTGAAAGTAAAACATTCCCAAAGACATCCAGGTTAACTGTCTCTAAAGCCTCTTTCACAAACATCAAGATTGGGACTTGCTCTCCGTCTGACAGGCTTCAATCAACCTGCCTTGTTAGACCTCTGACCAACCAAGTAAACCAGTTTAAACTCTCTTAACGGTTGATGTAGGAAAGTCTATGTCAAGGGTGGATTGTAGCACCCTCAGACCTTCTATGAAATCCTTTGAAACAATGTCATTGTTTACGAACACTGAATGGATCACAGTAAAATCAACTGAACTTCATCCTTGGTAGTTTATTTCAGCAATGGTGATACTAAAAAATTAATTCTAAGAACTCCCTTGCACTTTAGAGTAGCAGCCATGCAGTATTTAGTGGAATTTAAAATAACTCCAATGAGTTAAAATAAAAAAATAAAAACTTGTGTTTTACCAATAATATCCAATTATCTTATTATGATAGATTCATTTGGAAAGCCAATATTTCCATTATTACGTCTGAGTGACCATTTTAAGAAGGGACATGATGGCAGTTATCAGAGAGAGAGGTAAAGGACCTTTCAGAACAGAAAACACTTCAATTCGAGGCTTGTGATACTTTCTGGCCATTTGAGTAAGATTTCTAAGAGGTCCTTATCATCAAGCCCGGTAGAAAAGTCACAATTCAGTTCTCAAGAATTAACAATTTTGCTCTGATCCAATACGTTCTAATTAAAGGATTGCTTCATTAACAGGTTTCTAGCATCCCGAAGAGCTCTGATCCTAATGGTTAATTACAACTTGGTCAGCTTCAAGGATGCTATTCTCTATATTTCTAGACTCTGATCGCCCCTATAGGTGCTTTATGAACACCCAGGGGAGACTTAAGGAACTGATATTGGAAGAGGTGGGTTGAGGGAAACTTTAAACCAAAACACCTCAGTCAACAATTAAGACATTAACTAGTTTTTAGCGGAAAATTTTGCTTCGACACATTGGTTTCTATGACGTTAATCGCAACAAAAAAAAAAAATAAAAAATAAAAAAAAAAAATGGAGAAATGGGAGAATTTATGGTGCAAAGATGAGAAGTTCCTTAGATGTGAAAATGACAAAGCTACATTTTTTTTTCCAAGTTAAAATACGCTGCCTGCGTTTTGCCAACAGGAAACATTTAATATTGTGTTCAATATAAAAGCAGTCAGCTCAATTATGCAAGCCATTAATGTCTTATTTAGTTACTTAAATAAGCCAAGGGGCCCTCAGGGGCCAGATGGAGTGTCCACAGCAACTTCTGAAAATGGCATAACTCACCAGTGGGCTAAGAAATGTAATTGTATTCTGTTGTTGTTCTTATTTTAATTATTTATAGAGAATTTCATCATTTTAATCATACAGAGCATTTAAAGCATTTATAGAGATTTCAAACTGATATAAAGAAAATTAGAAGTTAAAAGAAATAATAAAAATATGCTTATTATGCTGATCCCCCCAGTTCATAGGTAAGTATTGGTAGCCCTTCCTATGACTCAGTACCCATGAAGTAGCCCTCAACCTTAAAAAGTTTGGTGACCCCTGTGCTAGTGCGTGCTGGATTAACATTTGTACAAATAATTTTTTTTAAAACTCCCATGATTTGTGAGTGCTATTCATTCATTTTACTCTAAGCTATTCAAAAAAAAAAAAAATCAAAAGACACTTTCTCAAGCTACAGTTCATTAAGGAATGCTATATAGGAGAAAAACTAAACTGGAATGATCACAAACAGACGATACAACAGCCAAACACTGCTTCAATGCAAATAAAAAAAACCAAACAAAAGAAAACTGACTAACATTTCAGCAGTGACCCGATCATTATGTAAACATTTTTGTCTCCCATTCTAACAGACTGAGAGACTCTGCTACAGAAACCAGTTAGCTTGATGTACTTTTTTTTTATCCCTTTAAGAGGATTTTAAGAAACAGCTTTATGGTGGAAAACAAAGTACCTTAAAGTATTGCTTTTTTCCCTTTCTTGTGCAACTGAAGAACTTTTGATAAGTCTAAATGCATCATTCCTACATCTCATGGGAAAAAAATTCTCTCTTCAGAACAGAAAACATTCCCAAAGATGAGCGTCTTTAAAACGTAATGCCAGAGCAATGTAAACAACGACAAAGGAAAACATTCAGGGTACAATGCTTGCAAAAAAGATATAACTACAATTAGAGGCTACTTGTAAATGGGAGTTTTACAAGGGAAACTCACATGCTTAGGGAAAGCAGGTTATCTTGCAACCAAATGGATGCAGCGCCTTGCAAAAGTTAGCATACTTTAAAGATTTTGTCACATTACAGCCACAAACTTCAATGTTTAATTGAATTTGGAACAAAGCACTGCATAATTGTGTAGTGGAGGGTATTTTTTT